AAATTTAAAACATATACCTACTAAAAATATTTTTATTACAGTATTTACCTAATTTAAATAGTTCTTAAACCGAAATATGTTTTATTTATGTATATTTCATTGGAAAAAGATAAATTAAGATAGATATTATAATTTGATTAAAAAATTATAATTATTTAATATTAATTAACTATTCCTAACTAATAATCAATTATTCAGTTCTCAGATTACTAAATTTTAACAATTAGAAAGAACTTAATTTCCATTGATCATAATTCAAAAATTAATAATAGTTCTAAGTAAACAATTATTAAATCAAATTTCTATATGTATTTATTTTGAAATGGCTTATATGGAAGATTTTAAATTGCATAAGTTTGATAATAATTCCTGGTCTCCTCCCAGTTGAAAAATAACTTACACTAAAATTGAATATTAATTAATATTTAACCAAGCTGTAAGCAACAAGCAGTACATAATAATTATATTTGTACTTAAATTTAACTAGCGCACCAATAATAGTAATAATGAATAATATTTATCAAATCATACATCAATAAATATGTACCTATAATATTAAAAAAATTACTCATTTTAAATAAAATAAAATAATTATTAAGTCCACGTCATAGGCGAGTGGAATGAAGCTGTGTCTAAATTCTAAACACACAGTTGCGGTTTCAAAGTCCATCAATGGAAGTTTTGGTTTTTGGACAGGACAACCCAAAGAAACCACCAAGGCTTTCCTATCCAATGTGTATTACAAAAACAAATTAATACAAAACTACCATACTAACATTCATTAGACCCAAGTTGCTTAGAACTAATAAATGACAAAAAATATAAATAATTATAATAATATAGGTAAAAATATAAATATATAAAATACAACATAATGGTGTAACTTATGATTTAATTAAGAATAATAGGCATAGAAAAATAAAATAAAATGCATGTTTACTTATTAAACAGGGTTAATATTATAATTAAATTCTGTTATCTAAAAAAAAAAATAATATTTTCAACAAATTTGAAGTTTTTGTATCAATTTCCATCAATTATTTTAATACTAACCATCATGTTAATTTAATTTTAGTACTTTGGATTTTAATTTAAGTGTTCGAGAAAAAAAATTTCATGCAAGAAATTTAATACATTTTACAATACTATTTGTTAATTTTTAATAAAGATACAATTTGAAGTTATGAAATAAATTTAATAGGAACCTTACTGTATATAAAAAAAATTCAATTTAATCAGGTTTTTTATAAACTATAAATTATAGTTGTACAACATTTCAAAATTAAATATACAGATATCATTATACTGTTATAATGTGATAAATAGATAAACATTATTCAATAAAATTATAAAAATGAGTAGTAAAAAGTTCAAAATCTAACAATCTAACAATCTAATACATATTATTATTATTATTCTGCAAGTACAGAAAATCAGTAGGAAAAAATAATTAACTTGGAGATCCAACTCTATGTATGTTCTAAATAATAATGTTAGAAATAAATATATAGAAAATTATTTTATTGAGTTTTTCACAGATTTTACTAAGTAAACAATATTTGGAACTAGAATTAACAAGATAAAAATACATAAAAAACTATATTGAAATAATTTCTAAATACTCAATAATGTAATTAATTTTAAGTTACAGAATTAACCTTTAAAATAATATAATATATATTACTACTCAGAACACTAAGTTTAATAAAGGTTATTTAAATGCATTTTTGCTACGAATATATTTTATAAATGTCATTACCATTAAAAACTTTGAGAAAATAAATATTTATTTCACTAAAATGATAAATATTTAGAGATCTTATTTTAAAGACAACTTATAAAATATGTCTACACTAAAAAAAATTTCTTCTGATTAAGTATAGTAATATCAGTCAAGTATAATAATATAATTATTATACTAGTTAATATAAAAGCTAAGTAGTTAAATTAAAAATAAAAATAAACACTTTATATTGTAAAATTGTTTATTAATTCAAATAACTATTTAATCCTACAGTTACAAAAGCATATAATAAAAAACACATGAAATAGATAGTTTGCATAGTTACATAAATTTCCCGTTTCATTATTTGTTTTAACAGTCCCACATTATGTAACTTGTACAGTATTTTATTTTGGAAACTGTTTATGTACAATACCTAAATGAGAATTGAGACCCCCTTTGTACCTGAACCATTTTGCACAAATATGACATTGGAATTTTTTATCAACACCACATTCAAACTTTTTATGATTCTGTAAACTCTGTCGATGTTTGTAGTTTTTACCACATGCAGGACATGTCCAAATCATTTTTTGATTGGGAAAAAAATAATCTAAAACAACACAAAAATAACCATGCTGTTAGATATAAAAAAATATTTTTAATTATAAACCTGTAAGAGTAATAAATGTTTGACGTGCAACATCATCTATAAATTATTTCATGCGGTAATAATGTACACAATAATGATCATTTAATTAATAATATGTTTTACCGTACATTATTACTAATGATTATTAGATTGTTAACTTATTAATGTAAACATCATTACCTATTGTTTAATTGTAAATATTTAACATATTTTATTCACACTTTGGATACATAGAAAAAAATTTAATTAATATTTTTTGTACATTTTAGTATACCTTAAGTTCACTAATTTATACGATATATTGTTATAGTTTATAAACCTATATTAAGTTCAATGAAGGTGGCTTTATGTTTTGTTATTAATAGAAAGGTTTCTTATTTTAGTTTTATATTCCAATATTTTGATTCATTCCTTGATTTATTAAATTCTAAATGTATTAAATAAAAAAAAAAAAAATAATAATAATAATAATAAATACTTTAATGATTATTTATTCCTCAAAAAATAATTTGTTAAATGTATGGTAATATGTACACTTAAGTTTACATATTACATCAGGAACATATATTTTATTTGTACAAACGAAAGTGAATCTTATAGAAAATTAATCCTTAATCTAGAGAGATGATTTACATATTACCCGAATTTACTCATATAAAATTACAATCACATACACAGTGTTATCAAATGCGAGTATAATACAAGTTTATTCTATAAAACTCAAGTTTTTATATGGAATGGGTACAGTGAAAACTATCAAAAAAAAAAAAAAAATCAATAGTAGTGAAAGGTAATTTAATTATGTTAAAATCTTTTTACTTATCCTTTTAAGTACCCATAATTTTAACTGAAAAAATGTATTTGTTAAATAGTTTTCACTGTAGTCAATAAACAAAATAGTATTCAAATATTATTGACTAGAATAATGTTAAATATTTATTTAAATACATAATATAAAAGACATGTATAATTTTTTTTATTAAATTATATAATGAACATATAATTACAACATGAAATCTAAATAAAATAAAACGATAAATTCAATTGATATAAATTATTAAATCTTACGATTTTTCATTATACATTTATAATACATAAAATAAATTATTAACAAATTATTAACAATTTAATAATTTATGAACTGTTATATTATGACGTTTCAGGTTTTGTTTTTGTGTGAAAGGTCGACCACAAGTTTTACACCTGAACATAGGTTTTACACCACACTCATATTTTAAATGAGCCAATAGATTAGAACGATATTTGTATTGTTTTTCACATTTGGGACAGTGGAAATTAAACAAATTATTCACAGACGAATCTGAAAAAATGAACATTGTTACCCTAATTGTAAGTTTAAACATATAGACATATTTGGCTCAAAATATATAAATATACGCAATACCTTCTTATGTATTAATTGTTCAAAAGGTATACATATAAAAAAAATAATAATAATAACAATAATAATAAAAAATATATATAATTGGCAAATATTATAAAAACGATTATATGAATTTGATTCAATGTTCATCGATAGCAATAGTATATGCGTAATTCATAGCATTCTGAACTTTTATAAAGTAGCTTTTCAGTTAATAACCATAATTGCACTATTTTAAGAAGATACACACTGTGCTAAAAACAATTTTATAGGAAAATACTTTTTACATTGCGAGAAGCAAATACAATTTTTAAAAACAGATTGTTTATACATTTTTAATTTTTTCAAATTATGACATCTACAAAACTATATGAAGATAGTAATATTATACAACTATAAGCTACATATGTTAATATTTAGTCCAAGAAAGAAGTTCAGATCAACCAACACCAAAGAAATCAGAATCACAGATATTTTGACAAAAAATAATGTTAACAATAGCCAGTTATAATTTTCTACAAGTTAACAGCACACCATGAATATTATTTACAATTTTTATAAAATTGATAAAAAATATAATGTAAATTATTGTAGGGCTTCTAGATTATATTATAAAACTATAGCATTATTTTTTAAGTAATTGGACAACATGTACTACAAACAAGATTTGAAGTAGTATATTTAATATTTTCAAAAGGACAAACATTAGTAAGTATAAATACCAAAGAATTTACAAGATATATAATTATTAATTAAAATCAATTTTTTTCTTCTAAATTACTGTTTCTGTATTAAATTTAATTATTTGTACACTGTGTCAATACAGCGCTTCATTTTTTGTTTCCAAGAAAAATGATAACCATATATGATATACTGGAAAAATAATTCTACACCACTCCCATTTTGTAAGTGCCACTTGATTAGAACAAAATTTGTATTATTTTTGAAATTTGAGATAGTTGAAATTATACAAATTAATCACAGACTAATCTGAAAAAAAAAATGAATATTGTTACATTAATTGAAAATTTTAACATACAAATATATTTAGCTAAAAATATATAAACATATACATTTACCTTCACATATATATTAAAAAGGATTGTATATTATACTAGAAAATTATTAAAATTTGAGTATGAAAGTATAATACAAATAAAATTTATGATTTTAGTTGAATTTTCATTGGTAACAATAGTATATACATAATTCATATCATTCTAAATCCTTATTAAATGGTTCTTCAGATAACCAACTGTAATTCCACTATGCTGAATAAAATTGTATGGAAAAATACTTTGTTAAATTTTGAGAAGCAAAGAAAATTTCTGAAAACAGATTTTTCATATATTAATAAATTATCAAACCATGACATGTATATAATTATGTGAATATTGAAATATCATAAAATTAGTATAGGCATGTTAATATTTAATCAAATTCAAAAATATCAGACTAACTAAAATTGATAACAAGATAAGTATCATGAATATTATTGAAAAGGTATAATGTTAACATAATGCTATATGAGTATTATTTAAAAAAATGTGTAAAGTTAACAAATATTAGATATAATTTAGATTATCCTAGGCTTTCTGGATAGTGTTAAAAAACTATATATTTCTTAAAATAATAAGATAATTTGTATAAAAATAGGATTTTAGGTAGTATATATATATTTCAAAAGAACGAATATTTGGAAATAAAAATAGACACTAACAAATTTATGAGACTTATAATAATAAATTTAAATTACTTTTTATAAATTACCATTTCTATAACAAGTTTAATGATGCTTAGTGTTTTATAACTATATTGCTTTATGTATTGTTTTCCAAAAATAAAAATGATAACCACATACAATGTACTGGAAGCATGGTTGTACATCATTCTATGATATTGTGTTGTTTTTAGTAATTTGGACAATTGAACATACTCATATTATTTAGACCCACCTAGAAAAATGATCATCATAACCTGAAAGTAAATTTAAAAATATAAACATGTGGTTCAAAATGTAAAAATATATGCTTTTACCTTTTCATGTATAAAATATTCTAAGAATAAAAAAAAACATAACCATTATAACATTACGAACATGATATAATAATTCAAATTTATATGTTAATTTAATGCATGGATGTATGTTCATTGATATCTATAGAAGATGTGATTCATAACATTTCAAATACTAAATAGGTTGTATTTTTATAAGATAACAACTATTAATGCATTATTTTAAAATATTCACTGAGCACTGAAAAATTATTTGTTTGATAGGAAGATACAATTTCAACAATTTCCAAAACCAGACTTTTCATACATTTGCATACAACTGGCAGTTACCTTTTTTTTTTTTCGTGAATAAAATATTAATATTAACAGTTAAGAAAGGGAAAAAATCATTGTAATACAACCATTTATGTATGGGATATATATATATATATATATATTTTTTAAATGTAATATAAGTTAAGGTGTAATTTAAAATATTCTGAATATTTAATAGGAATTTATTATAATAGACAACAATAATAATCAATATTCATATGAATTCATATTCATTATTACAGTATTTCCTAAACAATAATAATAATATAAACTACTATTTAATTTTTCACATAAGTACTTTTTAATAGAATAAAAAAAAAATATTTTTACTTACATTTTTTAAATCAAATTGCACATACCATAAAAAAGAAATTACATGAAAATCATACTACAATAAGATATTCTAGATTATACACATTGGAGATTAAAAGTAAGATTTTCTTGTCTCTGTTTATCACTAGCACAACATAGGAATTTAAATTTTTCTTTTTATTTACAATATACTAATTGATACATACTGTTGCGTATGATTTGAATTCATTGTTAGGTCCTCTTAAGAAAATTTGATCATATTTTTAATTTTCTATATAAATCATCATTAAAATTAATTTAAATTAAAAAATGTACATAAACAACTTTTATAGAACTTATTTAGAAAAATTCCTATCTCAATAATAAATTGATCAGTGTATAGAAAATATAAAACATCAAAATTCATATGCTGCATGTAAGGTAGATAGAGACAAAATATTACCAATATAATTTTTTAAAGTTGAACATAAAATTCAGAAAAATCAATAAAGAATATCAGTATACATCATTGTATAAATAATTACTTATTTATTATTTCAAAAATATAAACAGTTGGGAATGTAAGTATCTAAGAACCTTTGAGTCATGTAATTATATAATAATAAATCAAAATCACATATATGAAAACATTTTTATAAATGTTAATAAATTCCTATATTATGTTTAATGTCTTGTGCACATTGACCATATGGCGCTTCAAGTGTTGTTTCCAAGTAAATTGTCTACCACATGCAATGCACCGGAACTGTGGTTCAACGCCACACTCAAGTTTTAGATGGCTATTTAAACTAGCTCTGTGTTTGTACATCCGGTTACATCGAGTACACGGGAATGCGTAATGATCGATATCTATAAAATTAAGGAGTAAGTATTAAGGTGTTGATACACATGAATTTTTAATTATAAAAAGCTAGAATGCAAATGCTATATAAAGCAATTATATCCTACAAATATGTGCACATAACATTTTTTTTAAATATTACCAGTAAAAAGGATCAAAAGTCCAAAATGTTATATAAAACAAAAATAAAATATAACAAAATATGTACATGATATTATATAATATCATTATATTATTAAAACAAAAAAAGTAGTAAGATACATTATTCAATTAGTGTTTTATGTATTGTCAGCATGTGTCGTTTAAGATTTATTCTCTGATGGAATTTTCGTCCACAAATCATACATGAAAATGTTGGATCCATACCACATTCGAGGCGCTGATGTCTATTTAAGTTGGGTTTGTACTTATAAGAATTACCACATTTTGTACACTGGTGACGGAATGTTAACACTGTAAAAATAGATTTAAAATTATGAAACATATTTATTATTTATAATTTCTCAATCCCATGTAATAATCATAACTCATAATATTATAATACTAATACAATTATCTTTATAGCACAATCAAATACTAAAAATAATTTATTAGTAGATTTGATAATGAATAATTCTATAATATTTTTAAGTATATAAACAAAAATAATTTCCAATATTTGAATAAATGAAATAAAATATATAGCACAAGTATAACTTTCATGCATTTCTGTATAAATTGTACTATTTACTGATTGTATACAACAGATTGTATTTCTGTATTTATAGCCGTAATATTAAAATGAAATCATTATTAACTAATACACGGAGGAGTTTTTTTTTTCATAACATTAATATTTTTTAAAATTTAATTTTTAAGAGTTGATGGATAAACGACTTTCATGTCTATTAGTATAGTATAATTGTAATTAATGGATAGTTTTATTTTATGTCAAACGTAAATACTTGTTGGCTTTAAATTTGGTATTTAAATTATGTCATATTAACCTTTTTTTGTTTACATGTTAGCTTCCTTGACCATCTTTGATTTATAAGCCCAATGATTAATGAAGATAATAATTATGATTATTCATTAGATACACTTAAAATTCAAAATTTTCATTATTTACCATGCTGATAATGAAAACAAAGAGTTGGCAATAAATACAATATAAAACTTATATTTTATTCAATGCTAATACTGTTTAATAACTACAACAAATTAAAATTTGAAATATATTAATAAAATCAATATCAATAATATTTATTAATAATAAATTACTGTTAAGTCTTACTCATTTCACTGTAAAGATTGAAATAATTTTTTTTTTTTTTTACGAGAGGTTAATGAAATATACAAAAAACGCCCATTAAAATTGTAATACCTTTATAGTACTCATATATACGAGTATATACAAAGTATAATCAACTATTTTATAGTCAATGCATTTGTACTTATAAAAAAAATTTATCATTTAAATAAAGTTACATAAGGCAGCAATAATAAAAGTAAAAAAAATATACAAACACACACAAAAAATTGTATTTAATATCATTGTCTAATATTATAGAACTATAAATTTATTCATAAAAATTGTACAGTAATAGTGTACCTTGAAAGTTATTGTAATATAAATTCTTAATATAAGGAATTTGATAACTCATATTTGTACCAAGACTGTCTATTGTAAAAATAATACTATTTAAATATGTCTGCTAATATGTATGGATATGTATTCTTCAATAACTTTTATTTTTATAAACAAACTCAATTTAAATGCAAATTACAAACATACTTCATAATACTTTTAATTTAGAATACATTTTATTACCTATTAAAATATAATTACAAGAATTTTTATTAAATAATAACTGTTAGTTATTTAATTTAATTTAAATTAATTAAATTCTAATATTTTGTGAATAATGCCCAAATGATTCCGTAAATGTGATCTGTGGGCAAATTTTCTAAAACAAACATGACAACTAAACTTAGGTTGAACTCCACATTCATATTTCTTGTGAGCAAATAAATTACGCTTATATTTATAACTTCGACCGCAATTGTTGCACATAAAATAGTTTACAGGCTCTAAAATAAATAAGATTATTTGCTCAGTAATCGATTTATATATATAAGTGTTTTCCTAAATATTAAATGTATAGTCATAAAATAGTTCATGCAAATATTTGGTTATAATGAATTATTAAATATGCGTATAATTAAGCACTAATATATATATAATACATATTGTTTACCATGTACACCTTTTTCATTAATAAAAATACTTATATAGAAATTTTAATTATAAGTTTACAATTTTAAAAATAACACATAATAATAAATACAATATTTATTTAAGAAATCAGTAGGTATATCATAGTAAAATAAAATAACTTACATACATTTTGAAATTAAAAAGAAGTATGTACTTTATTATTATAGTAAGTAATATATAATATAACTACAAGGGTTTTTAAAACCCTCTAAAGAATTTTGGTTTAATTTTTGTATGACAAGAAAAAAAATGATTTTAAATAAAAACTTATTTTCAAAAAAAAAAAAAACAAAAAAAAAATTGAAAGAAATGTCACAGTATATTAAAATTTACTCGAGAAAAAGTAGTCTGTGCTTGATATAATATATTGTTATGTTTTTGTCCATGTATGTGACTTAAAACAATTATTTTTCACATGTATATTATTTAGAACATTTTTTACTGATTCTTTTGGATTTATAATTGATATAAAATCCATGTACAGTTTTCATATGAACATTTATATTATCAGGTCGCTTGCACATTTTATTACAAAAATAACACTTATATTGAGGTGGTTTGTTGCATTCATACTTCACATGTTTATTCAAACTAGCAATAGTTTTATAGTTTTTTCCGCAACTTTGAGGACATAAGAATACATCTTCAGTGTTGTCATATAATGACATAATATCAATTATTTTTATTTCTGCCAACACAAAAAAAATAAATATTAAATTAGATTCACATTTTAAAAGTAAAATTTTGTAAATTAATAATTTAACTATTACGTTTAAAGCACATAATAAAACCATACGTTGAATGATTTAGGGAACACTATATTTCATAACCAATTAACTTGAGATTAATACAACACTTTTTATATACAGGGTGTTCCTGAAATAATTGAGGAAACTAGTATACGTGTACTTATTGAAGTGGTCAAATGAAGGATCTTTAGAATATTATTTAAAATCTAAAAATGAATACTTGTAAGATATTTCTTGCAAAATTCTTAAATAAATTAAAATGCGACATCGATTTTGGGCTTGTCGGGTGTTTTTCATGCTCTAGATGCCTGGATCAAAGTACGTGATATGACATATTGTTTGTTAAAGAACTCTGCAAAATAAACGAAAGTGAAATTTATTTGTTGTTATTTTAAATATCTGATTAATCAACAAGGTTTTTACTATGAAATAATATTATTTATATAAAATATAAATTTAATATATATTATTTATAAAATAATATTTTAATGATAATTAAACAGCATTAATTTGAAATTCGATAAAAACCATGTTAATCAGATACGTGATATAACAACAAATAGATTTCACCA